AAAAGGAAGCAATATAGAGATAAAGAGAGAGGATGGAAAGTTATAATTAGTCATTTTCGTCTTCCCTATTGCATGGTTAATAGTAGACATGGTAGATTATAGGACCGCCCTTTATTAAAGTTTTACCTAATTAGACAACCACCAATAATGATCCCTAGAATATGTATCAAATCTTTATATTTGGGGTCAATAAGAGAGTCTTCGTTAACCAGTGAAGGAGTATCCACAGGTTGGAAATTCCGATTTTTCTTCTGAAATCTGAAAGGTTCTGTCCTAGACAAAACTCAGTGTGCTTGTCAGAAGGGTACTCTGCTATTAAGATTGTCCCCGATTAGATGTCAAAAGTGTTAAACAGGGACCTGATGGGATAACAATAAATCTTCTTTCTGAGGTTAGATATGCCGCTAATGTCAGTTACAATTGGTTTCTTGTAATTTGCTTTTGCAAGTTGCAAAATAACACAGTAATGGTCAATTTTTGACAAATCAATGCTGTAGTATTTATTGCCCGCGCTGGGTTGGTCTGCTGGTGGAAGTAGCCTCCTTAGGTGAGTTTCACTTGGGTTCGATTCCAGACAGCAACCTAGTTGTTATTTTCTTCCGCATTGGTCGGATCCGCTCTTCTGGAACGCTATGGGATTAGTCGGGTGTAGACCCGGATACCCACAGGCAAAAAATAAAAAAAAATGCTGTAGTATTTATTTTGTCAATGCTTGCATCATCTCCCACTATTTTGTTTCTTTAAATACATGCATTGCTATTCAGTTTCAAGCCCCGTCCTGAACTCTTCCTCTCTTCTTGAAGCTGTACATATCATATCAAGGTTAAGCAGCAAAAATGTCGATTGATAGTAGTTCCGCTCATGGGGTGAACTTTGCTGAGCCGCGAAGTTTTCCGACTGTCTTTAAATCCAACTTCAAAGAGACCCTCTTCCCTGATGATCCATTCGGCCATCTCAAGAATGAGCCCTCTTCACGCAAAACATTGAAGGTGATTGAATACTTTCTGCCGATCTTTGGTTGGTTGCCCAGGTACAATTTGGCTCTATTCAAGTATGATCTTCTGGCTGGCATCACTATTGCTAGCCTTGCAATTCCTCAAGGAATCAGTTATGCTAAGCTCGCCGAGATTGATCCCATTATTGGGTTATGTAAGCGCCCTTTCTTTGTATAGATAACTACTACCAAATGGATTGGATGGTTCTTTTGTTGCTCTGTTTTGGCGGTTCCACTACTAGTAATGGAATTACTGGATTTGTTATTGCAGATTCGAGTTTTGTCCCGCCTCTTATTTACGCACTATTTGGAAGTTCCAAGCATCTTGCAGTTGGAACAGTAGCAGCTTCCTCATTGATCATAGCTGCATCAATAGAAGAAGTGGTACCTGCTTCGGAAGATCCCATATTGTATACCAGTTTGGTCTTTACATCCACCCTCATTTCTGGTCTGGTTATGTTGGCGTTGGGCTTATTTAGGTGAGTATGTATTTACTGACAAGCAGAGAAACAGACTGGATTCGGTATAACTTGTAAAAAGTTGAGTGCCTGAGATTAATACATAATTACCGATGGGCTGTCGCGAAATATTCTGCAGATTGGGAATTTTGGTTGACTTTCTATCGCATTCGACAATCACTGGTTTTATGGGAGGGACAGCAGTACTTATCTGCCTCCAGCAGTTGAAGGGCATGCTTGGTTTAAAGCATTTCACCACCCACACCGATTGTGTTAGTGTCGTACGTGCAGTTTTCATGAACAGAAAAGAGGTTTTTCCTTCACATTCACTCACTCTTTCCATAGCATCTTCTGCTACTTCTTTATTTCCTTTTGAACTATCATCATTTCTAGTACCTAACGTTGTAAGGAAGCTTCATTTCAATGACCCTCCGTTGTTATAGCCTAATGTTAGTTCGCGGAATTAATAGGTAACCTTGTCCTTCTTAGTACACTAGGAAGGGAGGTCATGGTCAAACACATCCAGATTATGAAAAAGGAAAAGGAACAGGAAAAAAAAAATACTACTACTATTTATGCGATGCATAATCTGAGGATTAACCTGTTATATTTGAACAGTGGCAATGGGAGAGCACACTTGTTGGAATCATCTTTCTTGCTTTCCTGCAATTCACCAGATTTGTGGTAATGTTCTGTCGCTTATATGTTTTTTTAGCTTCTGTTGTCCATGCATAAAAAATATACTGATTGAGAGAAACATTTGTCCCTCTGCAGAAGCAAAGGAGACCGAAGCTATTTTGGGTGTCAGCAATTGCTCCCATTGTTACCGTTATTGTGGGAGGTCTTTTCGCTTATTTTGGTCATGCGGACAAGCACGGCATTCCTATTGTGAGTTTTCCTTTCCTCGTAATACTAAAAGATTTAATAGAAGTGAAACATAGGGTGATAGTACTACAAAGAAAGAAAAAACATAGTAATTGCTAATAGACCACAGGAGAACAATTATTATTGCACTTTTAGCCCCTCAAATTCAAGAAAACTTGATAGGAAGAATTACGGAGCATAACTAAGAAAGAATTTTGGGATTGCTAATCAACTTGACTGTTTCCATCATTTCGATTTTTAGAAATATAGTCCTAATGCAGAATTATTAGGAAAATACTTTAAAATTGCGAAGGGATTGATCTTTCTTTTTTTTTTCCGCCCCCCCCCCCGGGCCCCGATTATGGTCCTGGACGTAATAATCATCTGCCTGGTAATGACTGCTTAAAAGATAAAGCATAATTTAACTGCAGTTGAAACATTTAATTTGATTCCTTCTTGATTAACTTGATAAACATGAATAACCCCTTTCTTTTCTTCAAAATTCCCTGCGTTGGAATTTGTATTTATTACAGGTCGGTGCTCTGAAGAAGGGAATAAATCCTTTGTCCATTAATCGCATAACATTTGATCCTAAATATATCGCTGGACCTCTAAAAGGTGGAGTTGTTACAGCAATGATCGCTATAGCAGTAAGATATCGAAATTTGAGTGCCGTACCATTGACAAATGAAGTCAATCCTGTAATTATTTTTCTCAAACAATCGGAACTATGATATATGTTGCAGGAAGGAATTGCTATCGGAAGAAGTTTTGCGATCATGAAAAATGAGCAAATTGACGGAAACAAGGAGATGCTGGCTTTCGGCCTCATGAACATCGTTGGATCTCTCACTTCATGCTACTTAACAACTGGTACCATGATAACTTCTTTATCTTTACTTTTAAAATCCCACAAACAAGTTTTGTAAGATGGAATTTGTTTAATCTCAAATTCACGACATACATCCTAATTTTTTGCAGGACCATTTTCAAAGACAGCAGTGAATTTCAACGCGGGATGCAGAACCCAAATGTCAAACGTGGTGATGGCCATCTGCATGATGCTGACCCTCTTGTTCTTGGCACCCCTATTCAGTTACACACCCCTCGTAGCGCTCGCAGCCATTATCATGTCAGCAATGTTAGGTCTGATCGAGTACGAGAAGGCTTATCACCTCTACAAGACGGACAAGTTCGACTTCGTTATTTGCATGGCTGCATTTTTTGGTGTTGTCTTCATCAGCATGGACATGGGACTCTGCCTTTCGGTAACGTAACCTTGGTCATAGCTCATGAGTCACCATTCATTCAGGACGTCCATCCATGGTTACTTAATTAGTTACCTACCAAATACGAATCCATCAAAACGTATTTGAGTATTTTGTTGCTTTTGCAGGTGGGGCTGGCTTTAATCAGAGCGCTTGTGTATGTGGCAAGGCCTGCAACTTGTAAACTCGGGCATGTACATGGTTCAAATTTGTATCGCGACGTAGAGCAGTATCCCAATGCGACTGACATTCCAGGAATCCTTGCTATACAGTTAGGGTCCCCTATTTACTACGCAAATTCCCAGTACATAAGAGAGAGGTATGGCATCTCCAAATTATTTGTTTTACCACGCTAAGTAATTACTACTTATTATTATGTTTTTAACTTTTGTACTCGCTAATGCCGGCAGAATTTGTCTTTTCTTTTCTTTTCTTTTCTTTTTTTTTTGGGGGTGGATTGCAGAATTCTGAGATACCTCAAAACTGAACAGTCGGATGCAACATTAAAAGGAACTGGTCACATTGAGTATATATTACTTGATTTGGGAGGTACGCACAACAACTCGCTTTGACCCGTGGTCATATATATTAGCTGTTGAGATTTTCACGTTAACGTTTCGAAAGCAAATATTGCAACCTACTCTACAAAACAAAGATGATTAATGTTTTGGCAATGCTGCTGCTAATGATCAAATATAACTAACTCTTTATAGGTGTTTCATCCATTGACATTACGGGTGTGGAGGCATTTGTCGAAATCATGAGAATTCTTGAATCAAAAGAGATCAAGGTACGAATGGACGACTTGAATGAATTTATTTTTAGGAATCCTTAGGATCATGATAAAAATAATAATTGGTTTTTTTGTTTTTGGGGAAATGCAGATGATCTTAATAAATCCGAGGCTTGGAGTGATGGAGAAATTGACAGTCACAAAGTTCGTGGAGAAAGTAGGGAAGGAATCAATCTTCTTGTCGATAGCAGATGCAATTGAGTCTTGTAAGTTTTCGATGAAGAGTTCCAAGGGAATGAACGTCGTGGATGTAAATGTCGCATAAACTGCATCCGGCGACCGAGGGAGGATTAATACCTAAACCAAATAAGTTGATGTAAATTGAATTTTGTGTATAATACAGACTCTGGAATTTGGGGCATATATCCTTAGAAAACGTGTACATTGGCAATTTTAGGAAAGTTTTCATGTAGCCTCGCTTCCTTTCTTTTCCTTTCCTTTCCTATCAACCCGTAATGATGCGTCTTTTAGAAATGGGCCTGAATGCAAAATGTGCATTGATTGGATCAGCATGCTGTGGACTATTGAATGAAACACATATTGGGCTTGCCCGTGCGATTCGGTACACCAAAACGACACAAATTCCAATATCTAATTCGAGAAACACAAAAGCCGTTAGCAAAGAAGTAGTCACGCACGTAGCTACTGCAAGTCTGCAATTAGGATTTAGGAACGGTTCTGTCTTTGGACCCTAAATTTCAATAATTCCTCACTTTTAATTTAAGTAAGCAACCGACCAAATAAATTTTGTACCAGCAGCCAAACCGCTGAAATTTCAAATCTCTGCAAATTACTCCAGTTAATAATTCTTCTAGGCTGTAATCCGTTCGGTTGACTTGCAGGTGAGGGGGATAGTTATGTCCGCCGGTATGGGTATACCTCCGGTGATCAAGTTAGTCCGGATACAGGCAAAGGATGGGGATGAATAAATAAACGATTTTTCTGCCACATTCTTGCGTTGTTTTCCAGCAAAAACTGCTGACGCCGAATCTCTTGAGAAATGCGCTTTTCTGCTACTCTATGTTATCCGTTCAGCAGTAGCTCTTTTCTCTTCAGCCGGCATTTCTGCAGCGGCTGTCCCTGTTTTATTGTCGTACTTGTACTCCCAACTTCTAACTGTTTCTCTGTAATATTTCTGCAGCTGGTTTTGCGTGTAGGACAAAGTTCTAATGCTTTAGAAAGAAGCCCAACCGATTCTAGACCCTGCTCTATTTATCCTTCCACATGCCAATTCTCCAGGTACTCTTTTTTTTTTTTTCCTTGTTTGTTTTGCGGTGCATTTAATTGCACAGTTTGATTTTTTGTGCTTGTGTGATGTGTCAATTGTTAAATATTAGTTGAAATGGTTTGGGCAGCTTAATGAGACTATGATGATTAGCGAGGTAATCTTTAGTAAACAGTGAAGCCTTTGAGTTTCATGCCACAGATGTTTCCATTAATTGGGCTATTAGTTGGTCTCAGCTGCAAACGGGAAAGACTTTAGCTCAGTTTCATATTTTGTTTTTGGATGAGAAAATTGGAAGAGAAGAATAATTCAGAAAAAAAGAAGAAGAAGAAGATAGATGGAAGAAATAGAAGAAAACGAAGCGAGAAAATGGAAATGGTCCCAAGAGTATAGTGTTCAAAATGTTGGGCTCTCGAAGTTTAGAACTAGCCTTTGCATTTCGCAATCCACTTTAACCTGACGTCCGGGCTCTGGCTATTAACTTGCAGTTGAAATATGTATTGTAAAAAAGGCTATAATCCCAGTTCTGCAATGATTGCATCGTAATTCTTAGATGCTTATATTAGCTGAAAAGTATTGAGCTTGAAAGCATCTCTAGCTACACAGAGAAGATAAGCTATAAATCTGCAACGGGTTATAATTAAGCAAACTCAACAAGACTTATCATATTTCCTTCCAAATTTGCACTGCTGCGCTGCTAGTGTTTGTTCTTCTGCATACTGCTTATCAAGATAGATGAGATTCAATGAGACAGTTCGTGTGAAGGGCTTCCTTGCTCTGGTCTTTGGGGTTGAGACTTGGTGCTAAAATATGTTAGTTTTAACTTTGAGAAGAAGCAAATGTGATGAACTGAAGAATCTCGTGGTTACAGAGGTCTGGTTATATGCTTCTGGCTCTTCGTACAATCCCCAGCAGCTTTCGCAACATTTTCCTTTTTAACTTTTGCTGGAGTTAGTCATTACAACATCTTGTGCAGTCATTTATGGCCAGCTTTCATCTTTAAATGTTGGTAGCAAAGCATTAGGGGCTGTGACTTTCATGCATTAAATCTTAAAGTAGTGTTAATGAGGAGAATGATTCTCCACATCAATGGCACACAGGTAGGATAGTAAACCATGGTGGTTGTACTATTGTCCAGCACTACTATCGGCTGAAGTTTGCACAGAGGATGTAGGCCATATCCATGTCATAGCACCAATTACCACCATAGGGAAGTTCCAGCTGTGTGACACCTTGCCTTCTTCTTGATTCCTTTGGAGTTCTACGTCCCCATTGTGCCATTGTCATAAAACACTCGGGAAGTTCCAGTTGAGCTGGTCATACGTAGGTTAACCTAATTGAAAAAAATCAAGGGTTAACACAATCACATTGTTTTGTCTATTGTGTATGATGATGGATTTAAAAAATTTTGATCGGTTAAAAACCTGAGTAGTTCTTAGTATGTTCACTTGAAACCAAAGATACCGATATCTTGGCAGCATTCCAAGTAAGTGCTGCTGTACTGCACTTCAGTGCAGCTTTGCAAGTGAGCAGTTGGTTTGGTTTGGCAATCATTGGCACCATGAGTAAGTTATAACTGAATTTAAGTTTCACTAGATATTGTTAAAGTAAGAATCTTGAAATGGAAACTGCACGTAATTGCATTAGTGTGCAGTCCTTATTTTGGCCTCTGACTTTTCAAAGAGGGCTGCACTGTGATCCCTTTCCACGATGGGCATGGAAGTTGGTACGACTGCTAAAATACCAACTCAGTGCTCTACTCAAATTGCTGCATGCTTTAGAAGACTATTTCTTCGTAAAATGCTAGTTTAGGTTTTTTTGATCATTTGCATCTGTTATGGAAATACAAACTAACTACTGGAATTCAACTGAATCTTAGCTGGTCAAAATGACAATTTTGATTGGTTGCTACACTAATCAAACAAAGTTTAATATCCTCTAGCTTAAGACTGCTCAATGACCTGTAAAAGATGATGAAGATGTAAACGAAATATCTTAATTGATTAATTCTCTGAACAACTTGGTATTGAACTGAGGTATTTAGACCTCTTGTCATTTCTACTAAACTGATTTGAAATCCTTAGTTGGATCATTGCGTTTTACTTGTTCATGCTAGTGTTAATTCTCTCTTAGGTATTGCAGAATATATCTCAAACATTTTGTTGTTCTTCCAACAATAATATGACAAGAATGCTGGTCTGGTCATCTGATCATGCTAGGAACATGTAACGTGACACCCTATTTTGTGTTTACTTTTACTGGAAAGAAGAGGTTCTCACTTGGAGTTCTGCTTACTCCTGCTTGATTGAGTAGGATTCTTCTTCTGCAGGCCAAGTGCCGCCTGAGATCAGTCCATACTCTTCGTGGAGGAACAGAATACGAAAATTATAGGAGGCTCAATTCTTCCTGATGGTGCAAAATCAAAGGTTTGAAGATGTGGTGGCTACTATGACATGTCTACTTCAATGAAGTATCTTTAAATAGAATGCTCTGAAGCTTCACATATCTAAACGTCATAGGCTATCCCTGATAGCCAATAGCTCCAGGACACTTTCTTAACTAAAGCAGCATAATAATGTTGGATGTATTATTTCAACGTACACATTTTTGCATTTGGAGATTGTCGTTTTGGTCCATTCTCTTTTAGCACTTAGTTAAGAATGACATAGAGCTTCATATAGATGTGTTTAAGGTGAATGTTGGCAGTTTTGCTGCAGAGAATAAATTGGGGCGGTGCAAAACCAGGCTCATAATATAAAAAACGCTAGACATCGTCATGAAGCAATGTGCTGAAAGTGAACAGGTTCACGACTTAACTCTTGTCTCTCTGACATGGTCTAAATTTTAGTTTTCCATGGAGTAAGAAGAAATCATTTTTCTCTCGTTCATAAAATTAGGACGTGTGAATTTTATGGTAATTTTTCTGTACCAACTAGGTAACCAAATTCCAGAAGCTAATGCTTACAAACTAGTATTAGTCTTTTACTCGTCAAAAGAGCCCAGTGTTAATGTGAATTTAGAGTTTTACCTTTGAGGATCTCTCGTTCTGCCTTGTCTAATTTTCCATGTTATAAAGCTGCCAAATCATTACGGGTTGAAGACGGTAAATGCCACCTGTGCAGGAGCAAGTTCAGGTGAGTTTTCAATTGCAATGGAAATTTTTTTTTTTTATCAGACTTCTTTTTTTCTTCTTGTCATTCACATTTCTTTGCTCTGGAAATTGTTGGAAATATTGCATTACCCAACACATTTGCTAGAACTTCTTCAACTTTGACGGCTGTAGGAATTCTGCAACTTCAAAACCTGGTTACTGTATTCTCATTCTTTACAGATGCAGCCACTCTGTAATTGTACCTATAGATGAGAGTGACATGTATGTTTATTTTCCCTACTTCTGCATCTCCAATAACCTTCTGCTATCATTAGTTTCGGGTGTTACCTCTTTGCCAACCTTGAATTCAAATAGAAGACGGTCAAAAGATGTTGAAAATTGGTTTTTTCGAATCTGCTTTCGATAGTCATATACTCCTTTATTTGGCATCCACCTTGTTCCTCTTGTAACCACTTTAAAGTTGAGAAAATCATTTCTCGTCTTCCAGCCATATACTAGAAGATGCCTTTCAATGATTAATCTCTCAAAGCATGTCTTTTGCAATAGCCATCCTTTTTGAGCTACAAATGTGATAGGTTGCCTAATTAATTTGCACTTTACATTTTTCTCCAATTAGGAAGCAGCCCTTCGCCAGGGCGTGGTCAAGTCTAGTGGCCTCCATGTTATTGATTCCTTCACTACTGTGGAGGACCAGACTAGCACTGATTTTGGCAGTTTAGTAGGTGGGACCAAAAACTTTGAAACATTACTGAAACTTAATCCGTTCATGGTTTCTGTTTACTGTACACCTGTGAAGACTAATTTGCACTTACCCTTTTCCGTCTTATGCCGTTGTATTTTGTGCCACATACTCCTGCTGCTCTATCAAGCGCAACGGCCATTTCTCTCTTTTGTCGTTTTTATTCGGACATGTGAGTTTAAACAGAAAGGAAAGGAAAGGAAACCATGGTGGTGGCATGACTTGTCGGACATGCAACACCAACTTAAGAGCTTAAACCCAGATAGCGAATTGAAGCCTGTCAAATATATCCTTTCATTGGGCAAGCTTTAAGCAAGAACAGTCATCCTTGTGGTAAATTTAGATGGAAAAAATATTATATGGAAGCATAAAATATAATACCCAGTTAGTGTGAAAAGTAGTTTTCCCGTTTCCTGTGTTCTACCCCGTCACTAAATTATCAAATAAGATCAATAAGAATGCATGGGAGTTCTTTTCTGTGGGTGGGGCGGGGAATTTGGGGAGAGCTAAGAATAATCCAGTGTTGTTCCTAGAATAAAATTTGCTATTATCAGTTGAGAGTGTTTTTCAATCATGCCCAATCATTGGATTCCCTCTCCCTAATGTGCACAATTCCGACAGGGGGAAAAAGACGATAAGAGAACGGGGCATTTGTCTTAAGAATAAATCCAAGAACTGTTAGTCTTTTAATGTGATCAGGTATGTCGTCTTAGCTGGCATTTGCAAAATTGGGCTTTGCATTAGGTTGTTTAGGCTTTTAATGCTGGGTGCATATGATTTTATCAGAGTCCTGGGACTGCCGACAAGTTAGATGGACCTACATAATTCTCTCGGTTCTTTGCTGCCTACGAATGACTTCACTTCACGTAAGACAATAACAATAATAATTAATGTCTCTAAATCTAGACATCTAATTTTACTGCAGGTACTACAGTAAGAGAACCGAAAACTGAGAGTAAAATGAAAAGAAAAGGTGGAGCGTCTTCATTGATACAGCCGCGGTGCATGGCTTTGAGAAATTTAAGAACCACCAGAAATTGTCGAACAAGGGATTGATTTGCCGTCAGCCGCATAAAACATGTATTTTTCGGTCTGAAAACCGATCGGATTGGTCCCTGCCCCTGGGGGGTTGACTGAGCCGGAACATACCTATAATCACGGGAAAATCAGATCCCTTTGAAAAGTATAAACACAGGCAGCCGATGACAGGTAATAATCAGCCGTTTGAATACTTCTGCACAGCTGATCCTTTTTTTTTTTTTTTTGGTAATACCTGTATGTATTTATTGTATACTAAATAAATATAAAAGGATAGATGGAGGTAATTAGAGTTGTATGATCGGCAATGACCAATTGCTGCAACACAGAAGTTTGCTTCTGCTACCGGTTATTCTAATAGGGGGAATTTAGGACCAAGTCATAAATAGGGGATTAGTTTGAACTCAAATTAAAGTACCCATCTAATAATAAGGGGAGCAGAGGTTGAAAGGGACGGTACAAAACCATCATGTTTGAAATGAACGTCACAACTTAGGCGAGAGGCTTTTCTTTCGGCTCAACAAAGATATACTCCTTACTAGTATATAGCAAGTGGTACAGAAAATAGGAAAGTTGTCTGTGTGTCTTGAGAGTGTAGTAGACCATCCATCCAGCTTGTTAATTAGCTGGAAAACAAAAAGATCTATACGTAATGCAAAGATATCATCGACCCCCCCCCCCCAAAATAAAAAAAAATAAATAAATAATAATGATGAAAAGAGACCGTGATAACGCGGAAATGATAGTAGAGGCTTAGGCTGAAGCTGAGGCTTCCCCAATTGGGAGGGAAGCATCTTCTATCCCTAAATGCGAACCTAATTCTGGGTTCAAACAGGGATAGAGAGGTAGATTAAACTTTAAAGAGACAGCAGCATATCATATGGGAACGCTTGTCTTAAAGAGGGACCACTTGGACCTTTGCTTATCTTAAATTTGGTGCTCTCATATATTGAGGCTTTTCATGCTATCACAAACAAATGCCTCCAACATATTTTTATTTGGTTTTTTCAACAATAGAGGATATGCTCCCCCCGTATTACCGGCTGTACAAATACTACTATTTCATTTCCGTTGAGAATACACTACTGTACTACTACGTTAGTATCTAAGACAGGAGGCTGCCACGCTAGAAATGACGGTTGGTACCGCAGAAATTCTAGGGTTTATCAGTTAGCTTGCATAGGCAGCTGGACACAGAAAAGGAGAGAGTGCTACTACTACTACAGTACTACTACATGGGGGAGATGATGAGAGAGGTTGTTACTTATTTAAGGGAAATCTGACAAGTCTTTTCCGGGGACCGTTTCTAGCTTTTGCCCGATTAGCGTTTAAAAGATGAATAAAGAAGCAGAGGATAAAAACTGAAGTGCCGGGGGAGCGCAACAAATACAAGCGTCACGCATCGAAACGGCACCTGCGGCTGTTGCCAAAACATATACATATAAGTAATTTTTACCTTTTTAGCAAAGGCAGATAGCAGAGTAGTACAACAGGAATGGTGATTTTTTATTTTTGTCCAAACGGTGGCCGCGGAAAAAACGACGACGGCATTCACGGTAAATTCCTCACCATTCATCGTCTTACATTTGGCTACTATACCCGGCACTGGCAGTTAAGATATTACTCCGCGAATCATGAAGGCAGCACGATGGGGGTCCTACCTGCGGAGGAGCTATTTTTGTCCTATAAATTTTAGTACTTGTTCCTCGTGGTTTGGACCCACCCACCCACCCACAATTTTTCTCCAAAAACAGAAGGGCCCAAACGATTAATAGGACTGCGAACCAATAATAATAATAAATAAATAAATAAACAACCCTCTTCTTCCACTGCCGACTAAAAGGTGCAAACAAGAAAACCGTGAAATTGGAAGCCTCTTATTAATGGAAAATTCAAAGAGAAAATTTTCATTTTGAAATTTTTTTTAAAAACTTTTTGTAGAATATGTGCTCGCCTTTAGATGACCCTTTTACTCTCAGCTCAAAGTTTTGTTGAGTTGTTGTGATCCCTCTTTTTCTTTCGGCACTTTTAGTTTAATTATTCGTGCCTTTTGTGAGACTTCCCAAACGCCATTTCAACCTAACGATTACGCTGCGTGGTCCCCGGGGCATAATTTTGACCACTGGTGGTTGTGAGGGATCAATTAATGTCCTTATCTAATTCTGAAGCCTTTTTTTCAAAAAAAAAAAAAAAAAAAAGTATTTACCTTTGCTTTTTGTCGGTGTCTACTGTATAATTTTAATCTCCTATTCTTTCCTTCTCATTTTGCCATTTCTTTTTTTTTTTTTTCTGGGCATTCTCGGAAGTTTATAATTAAAGAATCCTCAAATGATCCCAATGACGACATTTACCTTCATATATTTTTGGTTCAGACTTTAGACTAACTGCCATTTTAGTGCTCTATCTATAAATAAAACAGACCTGATTAATCATTAGATTTTGGTTCAATGGCTAGGTTGAGAGCCCTTCTACTGACTAGGTTCGGAATTCAAATCCTGTGTGTGATATTAATTTCCGACAATTTATTTATGTGTAAAGTTTGGGTAGTTTTCAGTTTCTTGATGATCCCTACGCGGTGGAGTATTATGTCAAGATAACCAAAGTTCGAAAGGAGCCATCTTTACTTAAATAGCACATGTTTAGAGGTGACAGGCACATGCCCCAATTTAATTACTTCTCCTCTGGTTGAGAAATTTTCAGCCACAGCGAGGAAGAATGATCAAAATGGGATGGGACGTGACGCATGTATAGAAATACCGTACGTCTTTTCTCATTCCATGATTTGAAATCTACGGACCAGCAAAGTATGGCGTTTTGAAATAAAGCGCAAGTCATAACAACTACTGATACGATATCCACGGCTAAAATGCTCTAATGCGAGGCGTGTATGTGAAGTTACGTTCAACAAATCAAAATCATCCCACGTGCTGCCTTTAACTATCCAATTTCAATCCTCTCTCCCCCCGCCCCCCCCCCACCCCCACCCCGCGGGGCGGGGGCCCCCGTAAAAAAGGAGCACCCCTACGGAAAAGTTAAAACACCAACCGTGACCTAATTAATTAAAGATCATGGAAAAAGTAAATTATGTGGCTTCTTGTGTTTGTGAATTGAGGATTTAGTACCCAGCAATAAACTGAGTGCAACGTAAGAATAGAAATCTACCAGAGAGAAAATAAATATGTGTGTGCATATTGTGTATTAAAAAAACTCATTTTAATTATTATTTTTAGGAGTTTTTTTAAAATATATTATAACGATTTGATATATATGAAAAAAAATATATGATTAAAAAATGTATTCATAAAAAACGTAAAATTTTTTACGTCAAAAATCACAATCCAAACAGGTTTTCGTTTGAATTGCTATTTTTTATTTTAAAAATATATAGCAACAATTTGACGTATTTTTTTTTTTCCGAAACAGAATGAAACACACACACAAATAATATCAGACACACAGCAGGCATCAGCAAATCGATCCAAAGGCAACCTAAGCGGGACCCACGTAGCACACACGTCCAGCCAATTTGAACACACGTCCACCCACGTAGCAACAATTTGACGTATGTAATACTCCCTCCCTTTTTTTATAACTGACGTTTAAGGTTTTGCACACCAATTAAGAAAAGTTTTTTATTGCTTAAATCTGTACACTACTTTCCTTTTGTACCCTCATTAATTGTTCAATTCACCCATGTTTTCTCTCACTATAGTACTAAATGGTGCTGTTTTACTAGGCCAAAAGCAATGCAAACTAACTCCCACCAAACTAAATGTTTCTAAAATGAAAAACTATCCCACCAAAAATTTTCACCTAAATTTTTAATCTGAAATTTTAAACATTTTTAACTCCCACCAAATATTTTGAGAGGCTATAAGGACTTCACTATATAAACTAGTCTCAAGAGAAATACATTATTTGTATTCTTTTAGACATGGCTTCAAAACATAAACAGCCTCTTCTTGAAATAGATTTAAATATTGAATCCACACAAGCAAATGTTGAAGATGGAAGTACTCTAAACAAGAAAGAATACGGAGGGACAGATAATTATTAGGGTTGTTACAAAGAGAGAAGCAATAATTACTAGGAGTAGTAATTAAGAACCCTGTATTGGAAAAGAGAGATAAAAGGGTAAAATTGTGAAAAAATAATTAATACTGTATGGAAATAATAAAACGACAGATAAAAGTACACTAGAACAAATTTCTTAAATGTCAGTTATAAAAAAAGGGAGGGAGTATAAAAAAGTGATGTAAAAAATTTTTTATTAAAAAACTACAATCCAAGCTAGGCCTAAACTACTTGTTAGCCGTTGCCTTTACGGTCGAGTTTTGGCAATTTGCACGGGGAAAATCCTAGTGGCTATGAATTAATTGGTCCGTCGCTGTCTATTACATTTTCCTTTTACTATTAAATCAACCAAGTGACGATGATTGAAAATTCTCCTCCTAATATTGTATCTTTGGCCAATGGCGAGGGAGAAATCACGGATTATGACCGACGCAGAGGGTTAGAGAAAGAGAGAGAGAGAGAGGTGTTTGGTCGCCACGTAAGAGGAGTAAAGAGGTGTCCAGCTGGCACTAGCAGTAGTGCCGGCTGTCATCTTGTCAGGACTCAAATGGCTAAACGTGCTTACGTGGAGACTATTCTCCACAACGAAACACGCAGTCGTTGGATGACGTGGACGCTCTTATCTGCTTGGACAATGCTTTTGCCTGCCGTTTGGATTTTTCCTTCCGCCGTAGCAGTAGCTGTATATTCCTGTATCGTATGCTACGCTCCACCGCCGTCAACAATGGTGGCTCCCCAACCCCCCCCCCCCCCCCCCGCGGGGCGAAGAGTATTTGTTTCAATTTTCAGTAGCACAACACATGATGCCAAAATCCCAGTCAAAATTTTTTTTCTTTAGTTTGTATGTATATATACATTTTAACAACAAAGCTTGATTAATATCACAACGACTAATGGGTCCAAGAATTGAACCATAAAGTGGAAGTGACTTAATTTTTGTTTGGATTAATTACGTCTTTCAATCAACTTTTTAATCCTACATACATCAAATAACAAAAAAGTACTAAAAAGATCTCCAAATAATCTACTATAGCTTATTCCTTCTAACATATTTCTGGCATGAATATAGACATGGTGGAGGATCCATGAATGCCTTTCTCGATTCTGCATGCATGTACATTGGTTGTACTGTATCAGTGAGAACATCCCATGGTGAAATTTGCCAAGACCATACCTTTCCATCTGGAGAATGGAGGCAATCATGGACGAGGCAAAAAGCACATTATTATGGTAAAAGGATTCCAGGACGAGTGAAAATATATGGTAACGCATTTTATGAA